TTTAAGGTCAGATCATGTTGATGAGATATTAATAAGCTTTCATGGTAATATTGTTTATGCATGTTAATATTTAATTCATTGTCTAAATCTCATCACATGTACTTGTCGCCACCCTCCCGAGATGCCACAGTCAGCCATCACTGCTGAAGAGAGTGCAACCCTTTTTTTACAGAATTGTAGCTCTTAAACTTGATTTTCTAGCTAGTGTTTTGAAAACTGCTTCAATGATTGGCAATAGACCGTAGCCCCGTGTACCTGGCTACCCTCCATCTACTTGCAACTATGTTTGTTCAGATTGTAAACGTAATGCGCTTCCCCATTCAACCACAGCTCATGCACTCAGATTCAATCACACCTCAAGTTTCTGAAAAACAAAACGAGAGCAGTGACCTTTTTTATGGAAAGCCCTCATTCAACGACTTTTAAAGGGTTACTGAAATAACAACAAAAAATTAAGTCCTCGATCTGTGCCAGTGTGTTCTCTGGCAAACCCTTCAATTTACAAGCCTATCTTTCGAGGCCATTACGATGTCTACGTTCAATTTGTCTTGGCATGTTTGATGCAATTTATCAATTCATATTAGCGATCGTAAAATGAACACTGGACGAAAAAGTGATTGTTCCAGACCAAAACGCACTGAGTTTAGATAGACGGCTAGATTTATATTACTAAACCTAATCATTTCCTTGAATGCACCTGTAAAATATAATTGATTGTTGTTCTATATCCGTCGTTGATGCCAATGAATGATGAGGGCATTCTGTAGGCATGGAATACATTCTGTTCTGAAACGACCTATTCCTTGTCTTCATGCAGTGCATTGATTCCAGCAGTTCATTCAAACAAGCGGGAAAATGAAATCTGGTTTAATATCTTCCAAGTGGATTGAGGATTTTGAAATTCAAATTGTATTTGCATAAACAAATTTTGGGTTAAGAAGCATATGGCTCAAGATCAGATATCTGCAGAGAACACAGAGAGTATTGACTCATCCACATTGAAGTGTATCATCTGTTTCGTAAAAGCTTCTTCTAAAATGGCATTTTGAGTCAATTATTTACTTAAGATATCGCATGAAAACATGTTAGTTTTCAGAATGTTCGCAAGCACACATCTCGATGAAATACCTGCCACACTAAGGCTCGTCAAGAAAACGGCGTTTAGCGTGGCGTGAAATCAATGTTCAAGAAAGGTGTGACATTTCGTATTCAGGCGATTCTTCACATGGTGTTAGCCATCTAATAAAACATCTGTCGCTTTTTACCAAATAATTTAAGAATTATCATCATTCTGACCGCATTTGTCGTTTTTAGTGACATTGCGAAAATGGAGGAAGCCAAGGTTTTGCAGAACACCTATACTCATGGACATATGTGATGGTGTAATAGCGCTTTGAGGATGCCCCTGTGTTGCGTGGAAAATGCGCAATACAAATGGATTAGTAGCAGTAGCAGTAGTATTCACTCATTATGACATCAGCACAGTATCATAAGTATCATGAATAGATATAACCTAACCGACCCATACTATTTCCCCTTCGCTTTATTTTCAATTGTTGACATTCATGATGTCACGAGTTCTCCTGTGTCCGACCAGAACACAGCGACAGTGATTGTGGGATATGGCGTATTCATAGAAGGTACGCGTATGCTGGTATCCATATTTTCAGGATATGACATTTAACTTCAAAACGCAAAGTTTAACAGTTATACCGGCTTATGTGGTTTGTTTTTGCACCTTCTCAAAATCTTAAAACATTTGATTTGTACGCATGAATTTTCGTATATATGACCACTATTTGGATAGGCGTATGCATAGAGCATCTGGAGAGTGGTGATTCGATCCCCAGCGGCGTCATTCCAAAACACTTTTAAAAATGGTACTTGTTGTTACCCTGCCTGGCAATCGGCGTTAAGGGGCTTAAACAAGGACTGGTCGGCTCGAGTTAGTATACATGTACAGTGTCTGAGTGGGGTATCCACTCTGGCATGACTGTTCTAGCACTATAAACTGGCATCTGTCTGAACGCGCACAAGAAGCCACATACAAACACACGTATAGATTCACGTAAAGGGCGACTATGCTTGTCGTAAAAGCCGACTAACGGGATCGGGTGGTCAGGCTCGCTGACTTGATTGATGCATGTCATCGATTCCAACTGCGTGTATCGATGCTCATGATGTCAATCACTGGATTATCTGGTCCAGACTCGATTATTTACAGACCGCCGCCATATAGCTTGAATATTGCTGAGTGCGGAGTTAAACAACAAATAAACAAACAGATCACGTATAGTACGTGTCAGTAGGTGTAATATACAGAGTGTTGTTTCAAGCGGAAACTGACGATTTTTGGCAACAAAAGTTTTGAAGTGGCGGCTGCCAGAAAATGGAATGCAATTCCAGAATCCATTAAATATATAACGTCTACGGCAGAGAATGTCCAGTCTCATATTGTCCACCGAAACAGATTCCATTCGGCAGAAAAGGCAAAATAGCTGTAAAATTATATGCATGGATCAATGAAAATCAGTGATGACACCAGGTGTTCGCGAACAGGCTATGCATGTCCTACCCTACCGGGCACAGAATGCTTGTCAATAACACCAACATATGGATAACGACCTTATTCCATCAACACTACAGAGTGAGTGAGTGATTTCGAAACTCAATGTTGCCTACATATACTGTAATTGCGTGTAAACTTTGTGTTGGACGAACATCCAAATGGCAAAGTATTTAATTATTTGGATATCATCATTTTTGCCAAAGATTGACATTTGAAAAGACTTAACACGTTACTGCTTTGGTAATTCCTTTCATTCTTGTACACATTCAATGAATATTTATTATTTCTGTATTTTGAACATAATTCATTATTCAGGGCCACTAAAAGTCAATTCGTTATGTATATAGTAAATGAGTCCTGAAAGAGGGTTTGTTATACCACATCACTGTCCCATTATCAAGGTGTTTCTGAACGAAGATAAGCACACCAGGATGTACAATTATAAGACGTATCTATTATTGGTCCTGATTGGAACAAGATCATTTGCATCTACCTTTACTGTGCTTTTACAACATAAACCCAAACTATAACAGTGTATTAGAAGAATAAAGAATCCACATGTTAAGGTATATTCCAGCTTAACCGCCGTCGTTGACGTGCGAGGAATCAAATCCGCTTATTCGGAAGCACGATGGAACATTATAACCACAGGCCACAATCCTCTTGCCTGGACGTCAGGTATCTGGACGTCAGATGTCCGGACGTCAGGTATCTGGGCGTCAGGTGGGTGGACGTCAGGTGTCTGGACGTCAGGTGGGTGGACGTCAGGTGTCTGGACGTCAGATGTCTGGACGTCAGGTGGGTGGACGTCAGGTGTCTGGACGTCAGGTGGGTGGACGTCAGGTGTCTGGACGTCAGGTGGGTGGACGTCTGGTGTCTGGACGTCAGATGTCTGGACGTCAGGTGGGTGGACGTCAGGTGTCTGGGCGTCAGGTGGGTGGACGTCAGGTGTCTGGACGTCAGGTGGGTGGACGTCAGGTATCTGGACGTCAGGTGTCCGGACGTCAGGTATCTGGGCGTCAGGTGGGTGGACGTCAGGTGTCTGGGCGTCAGGTGGGTGGACGTCAGGTGTCTGGACGTCAGGAACCTGGACGTCTGGTGTCTGGGCGTAAGGTGTCTTGATGTCAGGTATATGGGCGTCAGGTGGGTGGACGTCAGGTGTCTAGGCGTCAGGTGTCTGGGCATCAAGTGTCTGCGCGTCAAGTGTCTGGGCGTCGGATTTCTGGACGTCAGTTATCTGGGTGTCAGGTGTCTGGACGTCAGATGTCTGGACGTCAAGTGTGTGGACGTCAGGTATCTGGACGTCAGATGTCACGACGTCAGGTATCTGGGTGCCGTTGTACAAAACAACCTTTACTAAGATTGAACTTAATTACTAAGGTTAATCTTAAGGTAACCTTATCAAAAAGTTACGCCCGTTGCACAAAACTACCTTTGGACAACCTTAACGTGGACAGGATACTTAGCGGCAACCTTAACTAAGGTTGAACTCTTTAGTGTGGGAGACTCAATTATGTCCGTAGTTACGGTTGAGAGTTATCTCCCCTGCTCGCATCTGCAGACGACTAATATTGCTACTTCAACATGACACAGCCGTCTACCAGTGCACAGAAACGGTGTCGGCAATCAAACTTTACATCAAGTGAGCTGACACTCTTGGCCGATGAAGTCGGCGCATTTTCTTCAACAATTACCAATCAATCCAAAATGAGGGAGTGGGATGCAATAGTCGCAAAGTAAGTTTTGCCATACATTCAACCTAGCTGATGCAGCATCGTTACTTTGTAAATGAGATCAAATTTATGTATCTATCATTGATATTATATTTGAAAGCATGACATGACATCCAGTGGTATTAGAATAAATGTATTTATTTTCATTGTATATCTAACGTAATTACAGGCCAACATAAATAAATAAATATTCCTCCACACCATTAGATCTATATATTTCTATTTGAGTTCAAAATGTGTAATTTTGAACAGAATTTCTTTTCAGCCCAAAGTTGCAAGGAAAAAAATAGAAACCCTTCCTACCGGGCCGGTTTGCGAAATATTTGGATAATAATCTGGAAAATACTACATTGTTGTCTAAATTAAATATGTTTGCTGCATGTGTGCATAATTTTTTGTCAATCTTTTACAGAGTAAATGCCTGCTCGTCTGTTGAGAGAACAGGGGCTCAATTGAGAAAAAAGTGGAATGATTATAAGTAAGTATTAGATATATTCCATTGCTAGGATTTATTGGTGTGTACACATGTATTTGTAAGTATTTAACTTCATTGTTGTGGTGTTCAAGTGTTTTGGTTTATAATAACAATTGGTAAATAAAAATGGCAAACAATTGGTGAAATTGGTTAACAATCAACAGTTTATTTACAATATGAATTGCTTATGTTTTAAAATGGCCAATTACAATGATCAATGTGAACATCTTCATGATTAATTAATTTACTGATCTCAGGTAAAAAGAAAGGCCATGGATGTCCGCAAAGAATCGTCCAAAACAGGAGGCGGTCCAGCACCATCACCTTTGACTGATCTGGAATTCAAAGTATGTTATAAAGTTTTAATTTCCTTTAGAGGATTGTATTTCAAGGCTATCTGAATAGGAAAGTTAATTATGAAAGTGTCCCCTCACAACAACATTTAATAATTTAATTCTTCCCCCCAAGTGTATATAGCTTGGATATTTCTATTTGTAGGTTGTATCACTGATTCCACAGTGTCAAATTGAAGGAATAGCTGGTGGACTGGAGTCTGAGGTTGGTTAAAGTGAGTGTTTGTTTTCAATTAATTTCACTATATATTCAAAATACAAAACAACTTTCATGTTGATTGAATATTTTCATTGAACTGGATGTATTTTCCAACACTGAGTATTGAAATAAACACTGGTAACAGTTTTGATTTACATGGACATAGATGATTATTTCATAAGAACTCATAACATTTTCAGCTTCCCTTACACTCGAGGCATTGAAAGAAGGTGACCTTGCCACAGTGGACTTCTTTGATACAATCATCACAAGTGAAGAGACACAGACCCTTGAAACATCTGGTAGACTTATTCAATACTTTTTAAAAAATCATTCAATGTGCAGTCATTCATGATGTCAATTAATTACAGTTTACCAATCTCAGATATATGAAATTACCATGTGTACTGATGTAACCTAATTTCATCAAACTTGCAGGTCCTATCTTTATGTGTGGGAACACTGGCAGTGATGAGGCTTCATCAATGAGTCAACCTGTGGAATCAGCAGAAATGAGAGTAGATGAGACAAGTCATACTTCAGTAACAAATGGTAAAAGTTTAAATACTAGCCTATTTGAAAAAATAATCAACAATAACATAGAATTATACTTAATATCAAATCACCTGATGACTCCATATATCAAATCAAGCTGCTAATAAGTGGATAATTAACTTATCTCTTGAATTTTTACAGCCAAGGATATCAAGATGAACAGATCCAGACAAAGAAGATATGGTATGACATTATTATATATTTTGTGTACAGTCTTTTATAATCATGCCAATATTATTTTTGGATAATTCTTAACAATTTCAGTAAAAGCAATGTTTTGTGGAGTCATATATTGGGTTTTAACTACTAATTTCCTGTATGATATTCTTTTATCTTAATGAAGTGTATTATTTTCATCAATGATTACTACTGATCATGATAATATAATAAATATGATACATTGAATTTTCTAACAATTTTTAAAGACAACTCACAGCAGCCACCGAAGCACATTGCCTCAATAATTGAAGTTGAGACAGCCAAAGCAGATGCCCTCAAGGAGCTGATAGATGTGCAAAAGAGGATGCTCAGCATATCAGAGGAGCACTTGGTTGTACAGAGAGAAAGGCTTGACGTGGAGAAATCCAAATTTGAACTTTTGCAACATCTTTTAATGAATCAAGGAAATAGATCTCCAAATACTTTGTCCCCAGTCATCAACTTTATGTTATCCTCCTAACCGTGCCAGCACCCCAGCTGATATATCTGACTAGTGTTTTAAGGTGAAATATTAAGTGAGATTAATACATATTGTGTATAGAGAGAGTTAAATTGTTATCTGTCTTGATGTATTTACCAGTAGCACACAGCAAAGCTTTGAATACAACCCTTTTATTTTCTTCCAATACATTTATGTTCATGCACTGCCCAGCTGTTTTGCTGTAATTGAAATAAATACATATGTGTATTCAATTGTTGCTTATTGTGTTGTTTACTTACAGCCTATGTAAATCTTTCAGTAATCAGCTCACTCCTAGTCGCACACCCATCCTGACACTGTCTGACTTCAGGATTGTTTTCTTCATCAACATGATCAACCACTGCTTCCTCTAGTGGTGCTGCAACCTTGTTGTCGATGCAGAAGTTGTGCAGCTTGAAAGTAGCCATAATTACAGCTACACATCTTTGTGGATTAAACAATAAACATCCGGTGGACTTATGGAGACATCTGAAAATGTCATATTATCAAGTTCTTGTATTTGTTACAAATTATGAACTAATTTCAACAATTACAGCAATAACATTATGTTCATACAATATCATTAACGATAATTTTCAAACACATATCTTATAAACAATTCAAAACTTCATAAATGTTCTTATTCCTGAATGGAACCATGGATAATTCACAATGAAGTTTGCATAACATGTTGGACCTACCATCCTACCAAAATTAAAAGAAAGGCATTTTGTGTTATTGTTAATCTATTCTCTCTCTCTTCTCTGTAATAAATGACCAGTCCCTGATCTGGTTTTCGATTACATTTCTGAAACTAGACACATGTAATTTTGATATTATACCTGAATCTGGACTTTAGCACACCAAAGGCCCTTTCAACAGTGTTTCTTGTCCTGATATGGGGTGCATTGTACTTTTGTTCAGGCTTCGTCTGAGGATCTGCTAAGGGGGTTAGCATCCAAGGTCTGCATGCATATCTGTACAAATAGTAGAAGCCAAATAACATTTGTTTACAAATGTAGGATATTCATTCCTTACATAGTAACATCAGAAATATTAATGATAGTTACACAAACGTGGCACTTTCCTTCAAAAAATTTCTAGTTTCAAATCTCTCAACTTTGTACTATATACATAATGTATCTTTATTGTAAAATAAGGGATCTACTGTACATCTTACCGGAGAGAGCTGTCGCATATCGCCTGCACATTGATGGCATGATATTCCTTCCGGCATATGTAGGCCGCTTCGTCGTTTGGTGATGGTCGTTTTATGGGAATAAGTGTTCCGTCGACGGCACCAAGAACTTTTGGGAAATGACCAATTCTATAGAATGCTTGCTGTACCTTGGTTTGCTGCTCGTGACTCCAGGGAAAAGTAATATTGTCTAAGACCGTGCATATTGAATTTACCGTTGAATGAAAACCTCTCGACACACTTGATTTATCCAAACCATGCAAATCTCCAATTTCAGAAAGAAATCCCCCTTTTCCTAAATATCTCAGCGTAAACAAAACTTGAGATTCCACTGTCATAGCGTACGAACGCTGTGTTGGTCTTTCGAACAAAGGACGAACTTTGTCTACGAGACAGAAAATGGCTTCGCGAGTGAGGCGATAACGCGATATCAGGTCCAAGTCTGTCAGTGTCTCAAGCTGCATGGTGCGATCGAGGAAAACACGCTGTTTCCTCAAACTTCTCTCAGTTTCCTCACACATCAACAAGAAAGTAGCCATGTTGAAATTCAATGAAGTATCAACCTTAGCGTGGCTAAGGTTGGGTCTGACCAACCTTAAAATTTTCACCTTAACTAAGGCTACCTTAGCGTAAGGTAGTTTCATGCAACAGGGGGTCAACCTTAGTAAAGGCCTAAGGTTAAAACTTCGGGATATAAGGTAACCTTAGCGCTAAGGTTGTTTTGTACAACGGCACCCTGGACGTCAGATGTCACGACGTCACGTGGCTGGGAAGCAGGTGTCTGGGCGTCAGTTGTCTGGACGTCAGGTGTCTGGACGTCAGGTATCTAGGCGTCAGGCGTCTGGGCATCAAGTGTCTGGGCGTCAAGTGTCTGGGCGTCGGGGTCTGGACGTCAGGTATCTAGGGGTCGTGCCTGGGCATCAAGTGTCGGGTGTCTGTACGTCAGGTGTCTAGGCGTCAGGTGTCTGGATGTCAAGTGTCTGGGTGTCAGGTGTCTGGACGTCAGGTGTCCGGACGTCAGAAGTCTGGAGGTCACGTATCTAGGCGTCAGGTGTCTGGGCATCAAGTGTCTGGGCGTCAAGTGCCTGGTCGAACCCACCCTGAATGTTTGGGAGAATGTAAATGTGATGCATTGAGTTACCAAGACGATGTACGTTCAATATATACCTATAAATGTCATTCACTGAATTGTTTTAAACATTGCCGCATTGCCAGATACCCATTCAATCATCTACCTCCGATGAATATCCTATTTGCAAAAAAGGGATGTCACGATATGTATGGTAGTATTTTATTCATTGTCGGAGGGAAATGGCGTGAAAAGGGTTCGCATTCCTCCGCAAACATTGACAAATAAAGAAAATGAAGAAAACTGTTAAACAGTGTTACATGTTTTGCAGTTATCGGGGGTGTTTGTTGTAATATGCAGCTAAAAACGTTTTCTTTCAGGCTTTGAATTAATAACGGTATCAAGTAGAGGTGCAGCTAAAACGTGTCAAAATGCTTCATTCCAGAGGTGTAGGAGCGTTTTTCTACTTCTCAATCAATCCTGAGCTTGTTGGAGGAGACGTGTGTTAAGACTGTATATATACTTGTAGGTCGACACAACTTGTGTGTGTAGTGCCGTGCTCTGCAATCAATGACGGCGATCTGTAAACAATCAAGTCTGGACCAGACAATCTCGTGACTGGCATCATGAGCATCGATCCACGCAATTGGGATCGATGACACGCACCAACCAAGTCAGCGAGCCTGACCACCTGATCCAATTAGTTGCCTCTCACGACAAGCATGGGTTGTTTAAACCAATTTTAATAGTGCCATAGCTGTCTGTTAGTAGTTTATTCTGAAAATTCAGAATAAGTTCGCGGGTACCTTGGCGATGTTTAGTATATCAACACATGCTGAACATGTTATAGTAAAGAACGATCTCTCCGAGGTTTATGACGACAGCAATGACATCATGTGGTGTAGCCGAACCCTACGTAATGACGCGTAGGCCGTCAGAACACGGAAAGCCTCTGTCACAGTGAAAACCTGTTATTCAACTGATTTTACACAATGATGGTAACGCTAATCGATATTTACCTACGTATTGCTCTGAATGTAATGTCATGCAACATGGGTATACATAAGCGGTCATGTAATAAAGTAAGTATCAGGTCGAAATTTAAACTGAAACACGATTTTTTCATAATTATTTACAATGTAAAGATTTAAAGGTCATATCATTTTGAGGCTATGGAATGTAACATAATGTGTTTTACGTAATGTGAGGGGGATGTAGTGAGCGGCGTGACGTCATAGTGGTAAATCTGGTAAATCTTATATGAATCGTATTTCACGGTATAGTGATTGAATAAATGTTGGCGGGGTGCCCATACTGACGCATGTCGCACACGTTTACCGCTTCTGCGTATCACATAAACACGAGCATGGCGTTGACAGGGATCAGAATAAGAGATTCGAACCCAGAACCAGCGGATCCTTTCCAGGATAAGGGACGCAACTTTCCACAGCTAATTGTGGCGCCATATACCGCTGGGCTGTCATGCCATATTAATAAGCTTTCATCGTAATATTGTTTATGCATGTAAATATTTAATTCATTGTCTAAATCTCATCACATGTACTTGTCGCCACCCTCCCGAGATGCCACAGTCAACCATCACTGCTGAAGAGAGTGCAACCCTTTTTTACAGAATTGTAGCTCTTAAACTTGATTTTCTAGCTAGTGTTTTGAAAACTGCTTCAATGATTGGCAATAGACCGTAGCCCCGTGTACCTGGCTACCCTCCATCTACTTGCAACTATGTTTGTTCAGATTGTAAACGTAATGCGCTTCTCCATTCAACCACAGCTCGTGCACTCAGATTCAATCACACCTCAAGTTTCTGAAAAACAAAACGAGAGCAGTGACCTTTTTCATGGAAAGCCCTCATTCAACGAAAATTTGTTTCTATATTAGGTGACTTTTAAAGGGTTACTGAAATAACAACAAAAAATTAAGTCCTCGATCTGTGCCAGTGTGTTCTCTGGCAAACCCTTCAATTTACAAGCCTATCTTTCGAGGCCATTACGATGTCTACGTTCAATTTGTCTTGGCATGTTTGATGCAATTTATCAATTCATATTAGCGATCGTAAACCGAACACTGGACGAAAAAGTGATTGTTCCAGACCAAAACGCACTGAATTTAGATAGACGGCTAGATTTATATTACTAAACCTAATCATTTCCTTGAATGCACCTGTAAAATATAATTGATTGTTGTTCTATATCCGTCGTTGATGCCAATGAATGATGAGGGCATTCTGTAGGCATGGAATACATTCTGTTCTGAAACGACCTATTCCTTGTCTTCATGCAGTGCATTGATTCCAGCAGTTCATTCAAACAAGCGGGAAAATGAAATCTGGTTTAATATCTTCCAAGTGGATTGAGGATTTTGAAATTCAAATTATATTTGCATAAACAAATTTTGGGTTAAGAAGCATATGGCTCAAGATCAGATATCTGCAGAGAACACAGAGAGTATTGACTCATCCACATTGAAGTGTATCATCTGTTTCGTAAAAGCTTCTTCTAAAATGGCATTTTGAGTCAATTATTTACTTAAGATATCGCATGAAAACATGTTAGTTTTCAGAATGTTCGCAAGCACACATCTCGATGAAATACCTGCCACACTAAGGCTCGCCAAGAAAACGGCGTTTAGCGTGGTGTGAAATCAATGGTTAAGAAAGGTGTGACATTTCGTATTCAGGCGATTCTTCACATGGTGTTACCCATCTAATAAAACATCTGTCGCTTTTTACCAAATAATTTAAGAATTATCATCATTCTGACCGCCTTTGTCGTTTTTAGTGTCATTGCGAAAACGGCGGAAGCCAAAGCTTTACAGAGCGCCTATACGCATGGTAATCTGCATGACATATATGATGGTGTAATAGCGCTTTGAGGATGCCCCTGGGTTGTGTGGAAAATGCGCAATACAAATGGATTAGTAGCAGTAGCAGTAGTATTCACTCATTATGACATCAGCACAGTATCATAAGTATCATGAATAGATATAACCTAACCGACCAATACTCTTTGCCCTTCGCTTTATTTTCAATTGTTGACATTCATGATGTCACGAGTTCTCCTG